CTGAAAATTCAGCTTCACATCACAAATATAAATACAATTTTTAAATATATTCACATAGAAAACAATTTCACTGTTTTTATTGTACTTTTGATCAAATAAATGCAGCCCTGAGCATAAGATACTACTTTCAAAATATAAAAAAATCATACTGACTTTTGAACGGTAATACATATGAATTGTATTTTGACACAGTTCATGCACCTGCACAAAATATCTGTTCCAAAATATCACGGTAATGTAATGTTTTTCGGTTTTGTAGAATCATGTTGAAAATGGCCTTAATGAGGAGGATGAGAAGGAGAAAACTCAAAATGGTGAACCCGTGGAGATTTCATCTCCTCCACACGTCTCCGTCAGAAGGAAGGGCTCGTATAAGATCTCCGTTGACCCTGACTTTGAAGAATCGGCTGAGTGTCTTACTCCCACAGAGCAAAAAGACCAACCGCCATCCAGCTCTCATGAACCGAACAAACCCTCAGAGCTCAATCCGGAGAGCACAGGCGTCGAGAACCAACAAAATAACGGCAGTGCGTCCGTTCCAGTGCCGGCCCCGCGAGCGTCCAAAGCTCCACTGTACCCTCCGCTCCCAAAACCTCGTACTGTCCATAACGTGGTGCCTCAACCCTCACATGCCCCCAAGGAATCAGAGCAGAACCAAGAGGAAACTCATCACAACCTCCCGCCGGAATCCAAATCCAAAGAGTCCCTGCGTAAACTTCAGCTGAGCGAAGAGGAGAAGGCCGAGCTGCTCAGCCAGGATTCAGACACGGAGACGCCCGCCTCGTCTTCTGCCGCCTCCACCTCCTCTTCCTCCAAGCAGCACGAAGGAGGTGAGGAGGAGGGCTACTGGAGCGGAGGCACCGCGACCGGGAAGAGCTTGCGGAACCGGCGCTGCATGAGAAGGAAGAGCGAACCTCCACCTTCCACACAGTCGCAACACGGAAAGATGCGCTCCAAGTTTTCCCCATGGAATCTGTCTTCACCTCGACTACAGCAGCGTTTCAGTGTCCTCAGAGTCGCACCTTCAGGTTAGAAGCCCAATGTTTTGTAGTCAAGTCATGTCGATTTATAAAGCGCTTTATAATATACAGATTGCTTCAAAGGAGCTTCAGAGTAAGAAACAGGAAAATAACAAGACTTCTGTTAAAATAGCAAACTTCTTCAAATATGAGACAAATTCAAATTCTGCTGTAATGCAGCTCTAAAAAAGACAATAGTGTCAATAAAAAAATTTATTAAATTAAAAGTATTGTGTGTAAGGCTGCACAATTTGTCCAAAAATCTTATCTTAACATGGTTAATAATTAAAAAAATAAATTATTATTAATATTATTATCATCGTCATTGTTGTAATTGTTTTTAAGTATTATTATCATCATCTAATATTTAGACTGTCCAAATATGAAACAAAATGACTACTACTGTTATATTTTACTGTAAAATAAAAATGTATTTAATAAAATAATATAATAAATAATAATAATAATTGTTACAGTACAGCTGTACAATACTAATATTTATTATTACGGTCTTAATTTCTTCATTTTCAAACCATCAAGATCTAATTTTGGCGGAAAACTGCTGAAAACACCAGCTGGTAGACTGATCAAAAGAGTAGTTCTTTGATGGAAAAATGTGATGACAGATTTTTCATTTTTAGGTCAATTATGAATTTGATTCGGCTATAAAGCAGCTCTACAGAAGACAATGGTGTTAAAGTTTTGTGTCTGTGTCAGTAAAGTCAAATCGAAAATATTACTGAATATGAAGTGTCTTTTAGTACTGAACTCTAGGTTGAGCTTAATTTTTTTAGTAGCTGATTTTGCTATGATTTTCATCAGGACAATCTCAGCCAGATCATTATGTATCAGGTGATAATGAAGACTGTGTCGACGATGATGAAGAGGAGGATGAAGAGGATCTTCAAGGAGAAGACCATTTTTTGGATTGCAAGGTTAGATTGTTCAAATTAGGATTTTAACCCTTGGTCCATAGCTTATTTTGGATGAGGAAGCCACATTTCTATGCATGACAGTTTTTTACAAACATAATTCTACAAACAAAGAGGAATATACAGTTATTTTTGCTGATACTTGAGCATGACTGCCCAGAATAAAACCATGCCATTTCATGAACAAAGGCTGCACGATTTGGGGGAAAGAAGTTTTTTCCTTTTCATATTTTCCCTCGATAAAAATTGGGATTGGGATTTAGAATTTAAAATGCATTAAAATAATCAACCTTTGCTATGCTTGTTTATAAGGCACATTTTCAAAATCACATTTTGTGATTTATATGATATATGTGATCAATATGATAATTACTATATATATATATATATATATATATATATATAAAAAATAATACAATAAATAAGTATTAATATTTGTGGCTCATGTTTTCTGGTAGACTGATGAAGTCCTGTTCTTTAGGAAGTTGTTGACTTGGGTTTGTTACGTGTGTTCAGGGGGCTGATTTTGAGATTTCTGAGTCAGAGAAACGAGATCTAAAGAGGATGAAAACTCTGGAGCGGAAAGCAAAGCTGAGCGAAATCGAGCGCTTCCACAAAGCTCAGGTGAGCAAGATCACTTTCTTCAAACTGTCTCAGCAGTGTAGATTGTTTCCCATAATTGTAAACACGCATGTAGTTTAAATTGAAGGGTCACACTTTACAGTTGGGTCCTATTAGTTAGCATTAGTAAATGCATTACCTAACATTAACATTAACACACAACTGTTCATTGTTAGTTCATGTTGGCTCAGCTCCATTAAATAATTGAACTAATGCAACTTTTGGTTTGAATGACTATTAGTAAATGATGACATGAACTAAGATTAGGAAATGCTTTAGAAGTTACCAATAAAAGAAACCTTAGTATTAATTTATGGCAAGATGAAAAGTATCTGACTTTCATTCTGATTTGGTGTCCTGTCCTGCTTCTGCCGCCCCCCCAGACGATTCAGAGACGTCTGGATGAGATAGAAGTGACCTTTAAAGAGCTGGAGGAGAGTGGAGTGGAGCTGGAGAGAGCTTTGAGAGGAGAGGCTGGTATGACATCTCATCCATCTGCAGAAAAGCATATTCACTGCTAATGATTTCACTTCATCAGATTCTACAGCAGTCAGGCTGTGTGCTAAATTCTCACTGAAACCATTCGATCTTATTAACCCTGATAGCACCGAGACGTCTGTTAAACATAAATGTAAAGAAATTCATATGCAAGCAAAAGCTTGCATAAAACTTTTACAGCTTCATCTGAATGAAGATGTTATCAGAGCTACAATATTTCACTAAATGTAACAAATACATTTGGATTGAATTACATTTAGTCCATCTGTCTATTAATATAAAGTTATAAAGCTTAATGTGTAATAATAATGACAACAACAACAATACTAATAATAAATAGCATATGACAAGAAACTCTGTATTTCAATAATAATGATTGCTGAAATTAATAATTTAGAAATAAAAAAATAATTTCATTATTTATTATTAAATTTAAATTAATCAGACATATTCAATATTAAATCATTTATTTTATTTTATTTGTTAGACTGTGCACTAATAATAATAATTGTTGTTGTTATAGTCTAGCTATTAGTGCGCACAAATGTCTGATTAATTTAAATATTAATCAATTAGAATGGAATTTTTTATTTCTAAATTTAATTTAAATAATAATTGTTATTGAAATAGAGTTTCTTATCATTATATAATCACTGTTTTCTGTATATAGTCAGTAAATATTAATTTAAAATTCATTCATATTACATGACTAACAAATAATCCATCTGTCAATTAATATGAAGTCATAAAAGCTTCATGTATAATTAATTAATATAAAATTATTATTAATATAATATTGTTGTTGTCGTCTAGCTGTTAGTGCTGTTAGTAAGCCAAATAAGTTTTTGTTGTATTAAATTAAATTGTATTGTGTGTGTGTATAATTTATTATATAATACATATTTCTGTCTAACATTAGAACAACATTCAACAGATTTTTTTTTAACATAAGACAATTTCAATGAACATGAATGCGCTTTTTTTTTTCCTTTTTTTATGTTTATCAGATATTCGCACTGATAAA